CTGCCGTTGACCACTTCTTTTGAATATCGAAACTTTATACCTAGAGCAATCTAAGAATCTGAGGATGTATTAGATAGACTGGCTAACACTATACTTCATATAAGCAAGGCTGGTGGAGTCTTATCCAGTTTTGTTGAGAGTGCCCCACACAATAGTGTATTGGGGTCATGCTGGTTTGTTCTACAACGTTGTTATAACTAACGTGTAAGTTATACCTAATTTTTTTTTATTATTATTTTTTTTAATTTCTAGAATTTTGCGTTTTATTTGTTTTGCCGCTTCAAAATAATTGAATGAAGGTTTTCGTTTTTACGTGTGTCGTGTTTTGCATGCGACAAAATATCACTTTGCGGCGCACTTGTTATAGGAAAATAACCATAACAAAAATATCCTGTTTATCTTTTTATGTCTTCTGTTTACCGATAGATGGCGCCAGTAATAAAAAAATAGATCCTCATACGAGCAGGCCTTGTAATTTTGATTTGTCGTCTTTTTGTAATGACATATTAGTTTATTCGGATAGATGATGTGTGGATTTTCTCGGCGATTTTTTGGAAAATTTAGTGTTTTTTTTTCGGGAAATTTCAACGCGGAACGGAAAATCGTGTTATGTTCGTCGAATTGTTTCACAGTCGTTCGACACACGCGCCGCCGCGAAATTCGTGAAATCGTTGTTTTTTGAACAAAAAAACTATTGGAACTTGTTTGAACTTGTTAGTGGACAGTGAAGCTTACCCAATTAAAAGTAAGAAATTTCAACAGATTTACGTGTGGAAATAGCTTTTTCCCGCATTTCCTGATATTTTGCACCCGCAAATTAATGTTGGTAAAAGTGAATACTTATATTGTCACGGTTTTGGGGGGTGCGTGACAAAAATCTTGGGTTCGTTTATTCCAAAATCAAAGTCCGATTAACACAACAATAATTTATTCCACGTTACTACACACTCTGACACTAATTACTTCACTAATTAAATCAAACAACCTAACTTTTTACAACTCTTAACAATATTCGCTATCTAAATCGTATAGGTAACAGCCAAACTTAAACTTAAAAACTACTAACTAATACCGTCCTCTATATATCTTTAATCCATACTTGTAAAATCCAGAATAAACGCGATTATCGATTTGCCCGAATAAGGCAGTATTTCCTAAATTTCAAGTTAAATTCCGTAAAAGCTGTCCAGATGTACAACTTTCATCTTATCTTGGTGTTGCGCTGTATACACCAAATCATTGATCCTCTTGATTATTCTGTAGGGTCCCATGCCGAAGACAATTTCCGCGACACTCCTTACTTTTTGTTGGATTATACAGCCACACTAGAACACTTTCTTGAAATTTTGCTGAATTGGCTTTCAAGTCGTATCTGGTCTTCATTCGGTTACGGGCCAGCTGGATATGTTCCCGAGTAAAATTATGTATCCCCAGAAGTCGTGCCCTTATTTCTTCGACATAATCTCGAATTTCTGCTCGTTCTTCTTCAGGTGTTCCAAACATCAGATCGCAAGGTAACCTGAGTTCCCTTCCAAAAACGATTCTAGCTGGACTGTCACCTGTTGACTCCTGAACAGCTGTTCTGTAAGCCATTAAAAATAGAGGCAAATGTTTGCTTTAATTTTGCTGATTATTTGCGACCACTTTTATATGGTTTCATTAAATCGTTCTACAATGCCATCAGATTATGGATGTAAGGTGTGGTCCTTGTCTTACGAATGCCCATGATCTCACAAATTTTCTTGAAGATGGCCGATTCGAAGTTTCGTCCCTGATCTAAATGCAACTCTAGTAACTCACGACGAATGTCGATTGATATCCTTAGTTTCCGAATAGAATTTTCTAGAACTTACTTGAAAATCCACTATCACAGTCAAAATCGGGTATACAATCACTTCCGGGCTAATTTACACAATCGGCTAAGTCTCTTTTGTGATTAGCTTTGTTTTGGTTTAAAAAAGGACGGTTTTAGAACGGTTCAAACCAGTGGCGCAGCCAGAAATTTTGTCTGGAGGGGGCCATGCAGAAAAAATTATAGGAGTTTAGTTTACACAGACCACCTCTTCTTTAGAGGGGGTGCAATGTAAACCAAAAATCAAAATGTCTGTAAAACAAATTCTAAGAATAATATTTTAAGCCGCGCCATTTTATGTCTGACGGTTTTTGAGAAATTTGCAAAATAACCGTGGAAGCGTGACGTCACAACCGCTCGGATACCGTAGACTTAGAGTAAAAAATCCTACGATTCTCACTTAAATACGGATTGACTCAAATAGCTGAAGCGAAATATGGCTTAGATTTTGAACCAAAAGTATGTACCATTGTCAGTAAGTAAGTAAGTAACTGGGACAGCATCATATTAGCTCTTGTACTATTATATTATATGAATTTTATTGTCAAATATTTGTCTATGAATCAAATGCATTGAAATAAATGACAGTAGAATAGTCCAGGAGATTATCATGCATTATTTTTGTCCCAGATAGTTTTGGTGACGATAGTACATACACAAAAGCAGAATCTGTTGGGCTCCACACGTGAATGTGACGTCAAGTCTACGTTTTGTTGCAAACACTAAAGCCTGATATCTTCTTGGAGTTTTTTTACATATTATAAACCAGATAAGTATTTTTGGTTTACACCCCATAAGCTTTTTATGATATGAGCAGTTTACAGCTTTTGTCTACTTCATCTTCATTGTTAGAAAGATTTTTTCAGGTAATGACCAACGTGAATACAGGGACACTACGGTCCCTGTTTGGGAATCGGCCCACTGAGCAGTGGACTCAGGCTTCCCATGCCAATCCTTGACGCGTTTCGTCCTTGTTAGGACTCATCAGAAGGACATAGGCTGAAGCTCCCTGTCCAAGCAAAATTGAAAAAAATCTTTCTCACAATTTCCATTGCCAACGAAACCTCAGACCAATCAGTGTAGTTCAACGCCAGTAGGGGTATTTGCCCTCGAAGTAGTTGTTTCTGACTGGTCAACGAAGTTCAATTTTGCTTGGACAGGGAGCTTCAGCCTATGTCCTTCTGATGAGTCCTAACAAGGACGAAACGCGTCAAGGATTGGCACGGAAAGCCTGAGTCCATTGCTCAGTGGGCCGATTCCCAAACAGGGACCGTAGTGTCCCTGTATTCACGTTGGTCATTACCTGAAAAAATCTTTCTAACAATTTCCATTGCCAACGAAAGCTCAGACCAATCAGTGTAGTTCAACGCCGGTAGGGGTATTTGCCCTCGGAGTAGTTGTTTCTGACTGGTCAACGAAGTTCATCTTCATTATTTTTCTATTTTACTCTGATGTCTTGGGGGGGACCCCCCCTGGCTGCGCCACTGGTTCAAACCAATCGCACAATTTATCAATCAACAAAATGACCACGGCTCGGCTATCAAATCACTTCATTAATAGACCTATCTCCTATTACCTGGACTGCGCGAGTCGCTTGTAGGCTGCAGGTGAGTATCCAATGAGAAGCAAGTTTGTGACAGGCTTGCGTCATATTCTTATTCAGGGGCCAGTTCAGAATGAATTGTTCATTCTTTGTTTGTAACGTGTAATTTGACAAAGAGCAAACTAATTCTTTACATATTACTTGAACTCACCGCAGTTTCGTTTAAGATTATACTTGACATATTCCTTTGCAATTTCATTGAGCGATGTTGCCGGAGGAAACATTTATCAAAATAAAAGTGCAAACGATGTTCATCTACTTTAAAACTCTTCTTTTGTCTGATATAAGGCATTGTAAAACACTTGACACTATATTACTTCTTTAATGTTATAATATTCTTTTTGTATTGTCTACATTTATTCTGCAACAATACAATCTGGCTACACAGCAGCCTACGAGTTGCGCGCGCATGTCATCTTTTATTGCTTTCTAACATGTATTTATTACAATTAAGCTCTCTTTTTCTAATCATGCGAGATAGGTCTATTAACTCAAACAACTAAACTCTTAACAATAATCACTATCTAAAACGAATCACAGCCAATCTTAAACTTAAAAACCACTAACTAATACTGTCCTTTATATTATGTGTAATCCATTATATAAACGCCATTATCTCTCTGCCCGAATAATATTAAAATATTTCAGAGATGCAACATTTGTATGATTTTTTATCCTTTATTATCTTGTTTGTAAGGATGTAGTATTTTCTATTTGTAAAAAAATAATGTAATCAAAATATTGTAAGTCCGGCCTTAGTAGGTGAAAACTCATAGTTGTTAACTATGTTGTCAACACTGGCCATCGGGACATCGGTGGTAGCTAACAACAATAATAATAAAAAATAATTAATGTCTATCGCTCGTCAAATTTTGCACTTGAAGAAATATAGTCCACTTAAATTAAAATTCTATTGGAGCATTTATTTAATGAGAAAATAGAAAATTCATGGTCCCACGATTTGGATTGCACGGTGAAAAGTGCAAAGAAGTGAATTCTGGGCGAGCTCTTAAGAAAATAGGCATTAAGCAATAGTAGCAGGAAAAGCTGGAGTAAAGAACATCGTACCTACAGTCACTGGCATTCAGTAAAGGGCGATCAGCGGTCGGCGTATTTGAATAAAATACAATACATAGTACCTACACGAGGAAAATTGTTTTCGAGTCCAAGGGGGACCAAAAAACAGTTAATTATTGTGTTATTTCAATTATTTTGTTATTTTAGCAAATCTCGGTGCAAATTAACAAAACAACCGGTGGAAATCGCTACTGGACTGAACACGAAAAAGGGTTGGTGACTGTAAACACATTTAAAAAATTGGATATACCTAACTGTATCACTTTTGAACCTAAGATTGATTGAGATATTGTAAGTACCCTCTCTAATTTCTAAATTAAAACATTTACAATGAGTCAAACCACGCGAAATAAAGCAACAAAGCACTTTGATCAACAAGAAAAGTCAAAATTGGAAATTCAATGAGCTAGACTGCAAGAGCAGCTTCTTAGATTTTCAGATTTTGTAGATGAATTTAATTTATGGCAGGTTTCACAGCTGAGAGTTAGACGGGGGAAGTGTGAGGAAATTTGGTCGGAATTTAATAAAATTCAACAAAAATTGGCTTGTTTGGAAAATTCAGATCAATTTACAAAAGACATTGACAAGATTCAAATTGAGTTTGAGCAATATTACTTTGAGATTATAGGTAAAGCTGATCATATTCTTGAGCAGATTGCTGAGGCAAAATCTAAATCACAAAAGGATGACCAGGTTAATAATGTTTCAGGCAACTCTCCAAATAGATCTTATTTATGGCCAAAACTGGAGATTCCATATTTTTCAGGGGCTAATGAAGAATGAAATCAATTTTATGAAATGTTTACTTGCATGTGTAATAGTAGTCTGGGAATCACTAAAATTGAAAAATTTGCGGCTTTAAAAACATATTTAAAGGGAGATGCTTTAAGGGTGGTTGAAAGTTTAGAAATTACAGAGCAAAATTACGATCAGGCATTAGCTTTGTTAAAAAATAGATTTGAGTATAAAAGAATCATAGTAAATAAGCATGTTCAGGCTTTGTGAGATTTGCCAGCAATAGGGAAATAATCTTTGGGACAAACTAGAAAATTACTCGATGAATTACAAAAACACATGAGGGCTTTAAAATCTTATAATTTGCCAGTGGATAGTTGGGATACATTGCTCGTTCATCTGTTCACAGAAAAACTTAATTTAGGTACAAAAAAGTTATGGCTGGGTGAGGTTGAAAAAACTCGCAATGAAAATCGTAATGCATTACCTTCTATGAAAGAATTTACAGATTTTCTAACTCAACGGTGTGTTTATTAGAATCAATAGAGTCGAATAAAAATACTGACACAAAAACTGACTATTATTATAAGAAAAATAAATTGGGAAATAAAAATTCATCGTCAACAAAATCCTTCACAAGTACAACCCAGAATAACAATTTTTTTTTACTACTAACCTGAGAAATTGTCATTAGTCAATCTATTTTTCTAGGAAAAAATTGAATTTCTCTCCCTAGGTTAATAATGAAAATAATGAAAAAATACCTAGGTCAATAATGAAAATGACGTCATGACGCAAGGATATTGCCCTAACGTTACAGGTTTCTATTTGTTTAATTTCAACTTCGAACTGTCATTTAAAAAAAAAAACAGGTTCCTGTATGTATATCATAGGAATTTACTATAAGCTGTTGATAGAGGGCAGGCCTTTCGACAAGAAAAAATAATTTGAGCACAGATTTCAAACCTAGTTTTTATTTTCTACTAGCAGTAGTAAAAAAAATTCTATATATTCCTCGGTAGAGAAAGTCATTATATACCTTACGCATTATAAACCTCGGCGCTTTGCGCCGCGGTTTATAAAAGCGCTCGGTATATAATGACCAACTTCTCTACCTAGGTATATAATGTAGTATTTTTTACTACTAACCTGAGAAATTGTCATTATTCAATATATTTTCCTAGGAAAAAATTGAATTTCTCTCCCTAGGTGAATAATGAAAATAATGAAAAAATACCTAGGTTAATAATGAAAATGACGTCATGACGCATGGATATTGTCATGTTTCTATTGGTTCAATTTCAATTTCATACGTCAATTTGGAAAAAAAAATACAGGTTTCTGTAGGTACATAGGAAGTTATCATAAGCTGTTGATAGAGGGCAACACTTTCAAGAGGGCGTTCAAAAAAAAATAATTGGAGCACAGATTTTAAACAAATTTTTAATTTTTTACTAGCAGTAGTAAAAAAAATTCTATATATTCCTCGGTAGAGAAAGTCATTATATACCTCACTCATTATAAACCTCGGCGCTAGCGCCTCGGTTTATAAAAGCGCTCGGTATATAAGGACCAACTTCTCTACCTAGGTATATAATATACTATTCTTGTCCAGTCTGTTCAGAATCTCATCTCATATATTATTATCCTAACTCTGAGTGAATATATAATTAAGAAAAAAGCACCTATCTCATTAGTTAATAAACTGACGGACTGGGCTAGTTTTAAACAAAGTCTGTCGGAAAAGATGAACTTATCAGTACCGTTGCGAACGCCACAACAAATTGATGAAGAAGTCGATTGTTTTATCGTTAATATTCAACAAGCAGCTTGGGAAAACAGTCCCAAATTAAAAAGAATTTTTAAGGGAAAAAACTACCCAAAAGAAATTAGAGATCTTATTATAGAAAAAAGGAAACTAAGAAGAAAATGGCAGCAAAGTCGAGATCCCCATGACAAAACAATTATCAACAATATGACGCAGCGCATAAGGCGAGAAATTCAAGAAATCAAAAATGACTCTATTAACAATTACCTAAGTGAACTCACCGGCGACAAAAGCACTGATTATTCTCTTTGGAAAGCAACTAAACGCCTTAAAAGACCAGTTACCCAAATTCCACCCATAAGAAAGTCAAATCAGCAATGGGCAAGGAGTAACGAAGAAAAAGTAGAACTTTTTGCAAGTCATTTAGAAAAGACATTCCAGCCTAACGAAGCACAGGATGAAAATCTTCCCTGGAACGAACCTTATCAAGAAGAAGGCAACATTAAGCCTACTTCAGAGAAATATTAACAGAGATCAAACAAAATATCAGTTCGAAAAAAGCTCCAGGATATGACCTAATTACTGGGGAAGTAATAAAACAACTCCCCAGGAAAGCTATTGTGAAATTATGCAACCTTTTCAATGCGTCCTTTAGGCTTAAATACGTACCTAAACTTTGGAAAGTTGCAGAAGTAATCATGATACCAAAACCCGGAAAACCACCTCATGATGTGTCATCTTATAGGCCAATATCATTATTGCCCGTTTTATCTAAGCTTTATGAAAAGATACTGCTAAAAAGAATAAAACCGATCATAGAAAGACAGGAAATCATTCCAACTCATCAATTTGGATTCCGCGACAAGCACTCTACGATCGACCAAGTACACAGAATAACGAATTTAATAGAAAAATCGCTGGAAGAGGGAAAAGTCTGTTCCGCAGTTTTCCTCGATGTAGCGCAAGCATTTGACAAAGTTTGGCATGAAGGCTTAAACTATAAACTAAAGCTGTTTCTGCCAAAACAATATTCTGATATTTTGGAATCATATATGTGTGATAGACATTTCAGAGTCAAACAGGAAGATTTTGAGTCAAATTTACGAAAAATAAAAGCAGGTGTACCTCAGGGTAGCGTGCTAGGTCCCTACTTATATTTATTATTTACATGCGACATCCCAAAACCAGAAAATTGTCATTTAGCAACATTCGCCGACGATACTGGTTTAATTACAGTGGAAAAAAGTATTGAACAATCAACAGAAAAACTGCAGAACGCTGTCAGTGAAGTTCAAAATTGGACCAAAAAATGGCGAATAAAATTGAATGAAACCAAATCAATTCACGTTGATTTTACAAACAAAAACGTAAATCACATACAAATCACAATTAATGACACCCCTATACCATATTCAAATCAAGCTAAATATCTTGGTATGACGCTTGATGCGAAATTGCGCTGGAAAGCACATGTTAAGAAAAAAAGGCAAGAGCTTGAATTTAAGTATAGAAAAATGTACTAGTTAATTGGAAGGACGTCCAATTTAACCATACATAACAAGTTACTACTTTATAGGCAAATACTGAAACCAGTATGGGCATATGGAATTCAACTTTGGGGTTGCACTAAAGATAGTAATATACAAGTTATTCAAAGATTCCAAAATAAAGTACTAAGAAACATTGTTAATGCACCTTGGTACGTTCGAAATAGTGATCTACATCGGGAACTAGGAATTGATACTGTAACAGAGACTATAAGAAAGTACGCAAAAAGCCATGAAGATAGACTACATCGGCATGTGAATGTGGAAGTCATTGAGCTCCTAGACAATACTGAGCTAGTTAGAAGACTGAGAAGGGTGAAGCCGTTCGAGCTAGTGAACTGAAATTGAAAAACACAACAAAACAGTGCTATAAACACATCAAAATTGTGATTTACAGTTTAAGCAAAGTGGGGAAAACTGTTGAGTGAACCTCAAGAATTGTAAACTTTATAGTAAATTAGGTTAAAACAAAATTGCTAATTAGTCTTACTGACTAGATTGTAATGTAATAAACACAATGTGTTTGACAAATAAAAAAAAAAAAAAAAAATATATTTTTGCAAACGTTTTCTTGCTATGACTGTAGATCATAAAAGAAAAGAGATAGACAGACTTAAATTATGTTGGAACTGTTTAAAATTGGGGCATAACGTACAGAATTGTAAAGGATCAGGTTGTCGAAAATGTCAGAAAAGGCATAATATTTTAATACACGATTATTTTGATACGGGATCAAATAAGCAAATCTCAAATCGTAATAAAAATACGGGTACTACTAATTTTTCTGCAGTGGCTAGCAACCAAAATCTAAATAATGAAGATAATTCAAAAAAAAAATTCTGGAAGTATGACATTAGCAGGATGTTCGGTTAAGGGAGTTACAGAATGTTTGTTATCAACTGCTATTGTGTTGATACAAAACAAACAAAACGAATATATCAGGGTTAGGGCTTTACTTGACAGCGTGAGTCAAAGTCATTTCATATCTCGGGAACTCTGTAACATATTGGGATTAAATAAACAGAAAATTGATTTTACGCCAGTTATGGGTATTAATCAAGCGGAAACATTGGTTAATCTTAAAACAAAGTGTAAGATAAAATCACAATTTAACGGCTATAACATAATCACTGATTTTTTGATTTTGGATAAAATAACACACAGATTACCTATGAGACACATCTGTAAACAATCATTTAATATACCGGAAAATATTAAACTTGCAAATGAAAATTTCGGAATACCAAGTAAGGTAGATTTATTAATCGGAGCTCCAATTTTTTGGGATTTAATCTGTGTCGGACAAATAAGTTTAGGGATCGGAGGACCATTACAAAAAACTAAGCTAGGTTGGATCATTTCGGGAACGGTGCAAGGTGGAATAATTAATAATCAAAATAAAGGCATTTCTTGTAATTTTTCGGCGAGAATTTCAGTACAGGAGCAATTAGAGAAATTTTGGAAACTAGAGGATGGGCTTTCTGATGAAACATGCTTAGAAAATAAACTATCTGTTGAGGATGTTGAATGTGAAAAATTAGTTACAGAAACTTTAAGAAGGGATGAAACAGGGAGATTCATTGTTCATTTACCTTTTCTCCAAAATATTTCGGAATTAGGGGAATCTAGAGAAATGGCATTGAAGCAACTAAATTCTTTGAAAACGCGATTAAATAAAAATGAAAATTTAAGGAAACATTACTGGGATTTCTTGACAGAATATAAAGTTTTGG